AAGTTTCGAATGTATTGATTCTTTGGAGAGCTATATAGATTAACGACTTTCTTTATGCTTATCCCAGGAAGGTATTTAATCATAATGTAAATGGGGCTTTAGAAAAAAAAATAAAGACTTAGTATTACTTCTCCTTATTTGGAGAACTTCAAAAGGACTTGGGAGGGTGGCTGCAAATTACCCCCTCCCTTCCCCCCACCGCCCCTCTCTAACCAAAAGCCACAATAAAATAATAGTTTGTGCTTTTTTTGTTTTGTTTTTCCAGCTTTTTTTTTTTCTTTTTAAGGCGTATTGAAAACTCAAATAGATTTGTTAGAAGCCTGGAGTCCTTAATGCAGGTGCAGGCCTGACTGCTGTGACCCCAAAGCCAAGCCCACTCCATGGTTTGTGCTCTTCTGTCCCCCTGAACAGGCCAGACCAGGCTGGTCGGAGGACTCTGCCTGCACAGCAGCAGTTTCTGCATTACCTTGGAAAGGTTGTGCAGATCAGGCAGGTAGACAGACTAATTGTACAGATTGCGCTTTTCATTTTTCCTGCGTAAGAGTGTCCAGCAGCTCCCCCCTCCCCTAGGACAGAGGCTCTGGTTACTGGAAACCCAGGCTCTGCAGTGAATGCCCAGCACACTCGCTTTCTCAAAGCACCAGTGGTTTTTCCCCGGCTTCCAGCTTCCAAAATTGAGGGTTACACTAACCATCTTGTGTCCAACCCAGAATCCACCTGTGTTTCTCTGTACTCTTCACCCTTCACTTGGGATCACTCTAAATGTGTTTTATTGGAAGGCTTGTTCAATGGAAAGCTTAGTTTCACATTTAATATTAATTCCCATCTTCCCTGAGAAAAACACAGATGGGTTTTTGTTGTTGTTTTTAATGAGATGTGGCATATCTCCTTCCCACAGAGAGAAGGTACATAGTTCTGGACATTTAGGAGAACATATGGGCAAAGGTGGTGCTGATCTGGCCTTCAACTGTGAATGAAAATTAAGGGAGCAGAAGAGAGGGCAGCAGGACATTGGCTACCTCCTTCCTAACCTGGTGCAAGCAGGTCCCCACATGTCACCAGGAAAGTCACCTCCCCCTGGGAAACCCTGGTGACATATGCAGATAAGTGTTAATCTAAGGTCTGGATCCACTCCAAGAGCTGACACAGAAGAGGGATCTTATTGTTTTGGAGGAAGAAAGAGAAACCTTCCATTTTTCTGGAATGTCTGCATTCTGGGTAACACACACCCAAGGGGTTAAGTGCCTGGCCCCTCTGGCACAAGAGCAATCCCTGATAAGTGTGAAGGGATTTGCAAACAGCATCAGATTTAATTCTCATGACAGCTTTGACAGGTGAGCAAAGGGAGAGTCACTCCTCCATTTATGGTTGAAGGCATCAAACTCTCCCTTTGTGACTTGTTTTCTTCTCCCTCCACATCTAGATAAACAGGCCTTTGAGTGTCCAGTCAATTCAGCCCTGGGGACTTGGTCAGAGTCCGGCCTGTTAGGTGACAAGGGAGGCACAAACGTGGGACATGAAGGCCAGTGGCTCTGCTGAAGTTACACTTCATTAAAAAAAAAAAAAAATTAAAAATACCTGTGCTTTTCTTTGGGAGGAAGGGACTTGGGGGTACAAGTAGCTCGTCCTGTGTGTGTGTGTGTGTGTGTGTGTGTGTGTGTGTGTGTGTGTGTGTGATGAAACATATGTGTATTTGCTCTCACCTGCCACTGCTTATGTTAAAACCTTGGTTCCTGCCTCCATCACCTTACCTCAAGCATGACCTGCTTCCCCATGCTGGGAGTGGGGGCTCCCAAAGGGCTGGAGCAATAACAATGTGGCTCCAGGGAGCCAGACCCCTCTTGCACAGGCCCCTGCCCTCATGGGCTGTGTGAACAAGTGTGACTTCCTTTGTTTTAGAGGCCATCCGAATCCCGGCTGCTTACACCTGACCTGCAGGGTTCCACAGCAAACATCTATCTCACTGAAATCTTACAACTCTTGAGTGGGTGCGTGGGTGGGTGGGGGGATCCCATGACTCTGGGTCTGTTATGGAAGGACAAACCAAGATTCAGAGTGTAGGATATTGGCTCAAGGTCACAAACGTTAAGTAGCCCTCGCCCTCAAATCAAGTCTGTCTCCCTTATCCCTCAAGGTCAGGCCTAGAGTTCCTTGGGCCTAGGAGAGCAAGCAGCTCTCTTCAGGGGTGTGGGGGGGGGCGGGGGGAGATTATCTAGATCACATGGTGAGAGGCAGGATTCTAACTGGCTTTTCAGCCTCAGTCCTTTGCTTCAAACTAGTGAAAACATCTGAAGATCTTTTTTGGGTAGAAAACTCTCCCCTTAGCAGGGCAGAGCTACATGCCCCTAAAAAATATCTTGACCCTCAGGGTCGGAAACAAAATGGTGGAGATGACAAACGCTGGGCTGGGCTGGCAGTAAGGTCTTGCATACTCTAGCAGGAAGATGAACACACCTGGGTTCTTAGGGATTTTCAACGCATGGAAGGAGGCAGGCTTAGGATGCAGGGCCAGGGAGGTTGAGGGCAGGATTCTGGCCCCTCTGGGCTAGGGCTGGAGGGAAGGAACAAATGTACTGGCCACTGTGGCCAGCAGGGTCCCCAGGTGCTGTTCTTTCTCCTGGGCAGAGGCCCACCCCAAGGCCCCTACGATGCTTGGCTTCAAGACTTGGCACTTCTATTTGGGCACCCATTTCCTGGGGTTGGTGGGGGTGAGGGGTTGGGTGTTGGCCTTAGATCTGGCCTTGGGGTCCCTGATGATTGGGATCTCTGTGCTTCCTTGAGACAGGCAAAAAGCAAACAGGAGACGTACTGGCTATCCCACTGCAAATTCTCTGCTCCCCTAGTTACACTTGGAAACCTTTACAGATGCAGACACTGAGGCCGGTAAAGGAAGATGGTTTTGGTTAAAGTCACAGTGCAAAAAGCGGTGATAAGGCCAGGACTAAGGGCCTTAGTCAAGCGTGGCACAAGAGTCTGACATGGAAGGTGTGGTGGGGGCCTGGAGGTAGGGAGGTTTACAGAACTGATCTCTACGGGCACAGAGTCCCTCCCAGGCTTCCCAAATCCACCTGTCTTAAAAGAGGAAACTGAGGCAGAGACAAGAGGGAGTCGCCTCAGAAGCCACCTGTCCTTGCTGTCCATCCCCACCACATTGTGCCTACAATTCTCAGCTGCTGCCACACAGCCCAGAGGGCCTCGCTGCTCCCTCAGCCCTCTGGCCCCCCCAACCCCCTCCCCCAGGATGCTTTAGAAAGACCCATCTCCACAAAGAGAAGTCCAGTGAGAAGTTCTTATCCCGACATGTCACCACGGTCATCTGGCACCCAGGTCTCTGCTCAGAGCCGCCCATGTCTCCTGGACAAATGCACCCAACGACTACCCTGCACTGTCTTCGGGCTGGTGGAGGGACCTGAGGCGCGCCCAGCCTCCCTCCCTTGCCTCCAGAGAAGCCAGCGGCACAGAGATGCCACCAAACCCGCGGCTCGGTTCGCTTTCCCCGCAGCGCTGCAAAGCTGGACCCGGCTCGGCCAGACAGCGCCAGGGCCCAGGGCCCAGGAAGGGCGCCTGGGCGGGCGCAGTCCCAGCGGCCGAGCTACCGCTGCAAGCGCCTCCCCCTCCCTCGCGGCGCCAGCACGCGGCCCCGCCGGGCTCGGCTCCCAGTCGCCTGCCACCGGCCCGCCGGGCACACGCCTGGGGCGGGATGGAGACCGCGCCAAGGCCGCCGAGGTGCCTGTGGCAGCGCCGAAGCGCCAGGGAACGTCTCCAGTGCCACAAGCGCCACCACCCTCTCCCTCCTGCCCCACATCTTTTTTTCTCAGATCTGAGCCCGGAGCATCCCGGCGCGCACCCCCGCCCCCCTCTTTTTGGAAGCCCCAACTGGTCCCGAAATAAGCCTTGGGAGGAGGAGGGGCGGCGATGCAGTGGGCAGGTCAGAAGTCTTCTGGGGGACCCCAGATCCTCACCTCCCCACAGCTGCGGTCACAATCACCCCTCACTGCGTTCACTTCCCTTCTCCCAGGCCCCCTCTTCTCTTGCTCAGCTGGAGGACACCCTCGTTTCCACACCTGGATGGGCCATTAAAAGCCATCTAATCCAAACCATCCGTCCCTAAGGCGACACCCTGAGGCTCCTGGAGAATGTCACTTACCAGGGGTCACAAGAGACTAGAACCCAAGTTTTAACAGTGCTTTCTCGAACCGTCCAGTTCTTCGACGGAGTTACCCCACCACCCCCATCTTTCTGAACTTCAATCTCAAGATTGCGCAGGCTCCCAAGGACAGGGCACTCCCCCACTGCGTGACCGTGGGTGAGAGAGAGAGAGGGAAAAACCAAAAACAACTGGATAAATGGAGTCCCACTGTCCCCTCACCTCCACACCGCCCCCCACCCCGTGCCACTTATTCCGCCAAACTGCTCCCTGTGGCTTGTTCCAAGTTCTCCGGACAATCCCGGGGCGCTTCCCCCCAAATCTTTCCACCCATACCCCCAATCCGCAGAGCCCTTTGCCCCTCCTCGACGCCCGCCCCCGCTTCCAGAACCACCCCCGGCCGCAGCCCGCCCCGAGCGCGCCTCCTGTTTATTCAGCCGGGAGTCCGGCACGCGCCAGGCGCACGCACTGCAACAACAAACCCCGCTGAATGGGGAGTTTGCAAGGAGCGGACTCGGGAGCAGGCGGAGGAGGGGTGGAGGGGAGGGGAGTTTGGGGAGTTGGGTGGGAGGAGGAGGTAAGAGGAGGGGGGAGTGGGGGCTGCAGCCGCCCGCAGCACCAGCGGGGAGTGGGGGGCGAGGCGGGGCCAGGGCTGCGCGTGGGGCTGGGTGTCCCATTGAAAAGGCGGCCGCTCTCCGGCCGCGCGGCACTCTCTCACTTCTGGCCAGGGAACGTGGAAGGCACGCCGACAGGGCGCCGGCCGGGGCGGGCGAGGGAGAGCAGGCGCTAAGAAAGGGGGCGAGCCGAAAAACATAAATAAAAGCAGCCTGCGCCGCGCTTGGAGAGGCCCAGACCGGGCGCAAACGCGCGCAGCCCCAGGGGAGAAGAGCCGGAGGCCGAGGAGCGCGCCCGCCGCTGACTTTTGCTTCTTCTGTTGCCTTTTTTTTTTTTTTTTAAACAAGAAGCCGCGAGCGGCAGCCTCACACGCGAGCGCCACGCGAGGCTCCCGAAGCCAACCCGCGCAGGGCGGAGGGAGGGAGGAGCAGGAGCGGAGGGAGGCGGCACCGCGTTTGCACCTTCTTTGCGCGCACCCAAAGAAGTCTCCCGGGGATTTTGCATTTCTTTTAACTTCCCTCCGGGCTCCCTCTGCGCCTCTCCCCTGCTTTTCCTCCCTGTCCCTGCACCCACGTCCTGTCTGCGCCCCCCTCGCGCGCCCCGCACCTCGCGTCCCTGCTCGCGCCCAGCCCGCCACTCTTTGGCCGCCGCTGCGCATGGAGAGCTCTGCCAAGATGGAGAGCGGCGGCGCCGGCCAGCAGCCCCAGCCGCAACCCCAGCAGCCCTTCCTGCCGCCCGCCGCCTGCTTCTTTGCCACCGCGGCGCAGGGCGCGCAGCAGCAGGGCGCGCAGCAGCAGCAGGGCGCGCCGCAGCTGAGCCCGGCGGCCGACAGCCAGCCCTCAGGGGGCGGTCACAAGTCAGCCACCAAGCAAGTCAAGCGGCAGCGCTCGTCCTCGCCCGAGCTGATGCGCTGCAAACGCCGGCTCAACTTCAGCGGCTTCGGCTACAGCTTGCCCCAGCAGCAGCCCGCGGCCGTGGCGCGCCGCAACGAGCGCGAGCGCAACCGCGTCAAGCTGGTCAACCTGGGCTTCGCCACCCTCCGGGAGCACGTCCCCAACGGCGCGGCCAACAAGAAGATGAGCAAGGTGGAGACGCTGCGCTCCGCGGTGGAGTACATCCGCGCGCTGCAGCAGCTGCTGGACGAGCACGACGCCGTGAGCGCCGCCTTCCAGGCCGGCGTCCTGTCGCCCACCATCTCCCCCAACTACTCCAACGACATGAACTCCATGGCCGGCTCGCCGGTCTCGTCCTACTCCTCAGACGAGGGCTCCTACGACCCGCTCAGCCCCGAGGAGCAGGAGCTGCTCGACTTCACCAACTGGTTCTGAGGGGCTCGGCCTGGCCTGGCCCTGGTGCGAATGGACTTGGAAGGCAGGTAGGCTGCCGTTGAGAGGGGAACAGGTGGATTTCCCTGTCTTCACCCCTTTCCCTCCGTTTTCTCCCTGGAGGAGGGGGGTCTTCCTCGGGGAGAGGGGACGGGGCGGTTTAAAAGATTTGTTCAAGTTTGTCGGTTTCCAGTCCCACTTGGTTGGGTTCAGCATTGGTCCCTCAGGGTGGTGTTGCCCAGATATCCCGGGAATGGAAGGTGGGGCTGCGGTGGGAGATGCTTGCGAACCCAGTCTTGGGGGACCTGTCAGAAGAGGCCCTCTACCTGACAGATCCTCGCGCCCAACCGCTGTTTCCCTCTGGCCACCAAGTGCCCGCTAACCTCTCCGGTTCTTCTGCTGTGTTACAGGGTGACCGCGCAACCTGCATCTTTAGTGCTTTCTCGTCTGCGACGCTGGAAGGGAAGAGAGGGGGAGGGGGAGAAGGAAAAAAGAGAAGAAATTTAAAAAACAGACAACCAACTCCAAGGCCAGCTAAGGGGCGCACGCCTGAGAAGCAAGGCGCTCGCAGAACCGGAATGCGCCCAGAAGGCATCTTTGGCACTCCACTCCTGCATGGAGCCAGCAAGAGCGGCTAGGACCTGAGTCGATGCAAAATGCAGCTAGTGTGCAAAAGCAGTGGGCTCCTGGCGGAAGAGCTGCGTGTGCCCCTAGAAACTCCCACCCACCACTCACAGGCAGAGAGGAAACCAAACCGCTTACTCTGGTGCCTTCCTCTCACCCTCTCCAAGCGCAGTTCTTAGCCCTCTAGACGTGGGTTGGTGTCTTTTCCTCTCTGCACCCCCCTCCCCACCCCGGGAAGCTGTGGACTTTTGGCCTGCAGTGAAATTATACTCTACTTAGTCCTTTGAAACCCCTCCCCCAGGGGCTTCCTCCCCAAGCCCCACTCCCTCCCTCACATCATCTTTTCTACCTTTTTTTTGTTGTTGTTTTTTTCATCATAGAATGCTTCCAATCTTTTGTGAATTTTTTATTATAAGAAATCTATTTGTATCTATCCTAACCAGTTTGGGGATATATTAAGATATTTTTGTACATAAGAGAGAAAGAAAAAAATTTATAGAGTTTTGTACAAATGGTTTAAAATGTGTATATCTTGATACTTTAACATGTAATGCTATTACCTCTGCATATTTTAGATGTGTAGCTCACCTGACGACTGCCATTTTCCTTCTGTGGTTTTGTAAAGAACTCTCCTCATAGGTGAGGTCAAAAGGCCACCAGATGTACTTCAGCACCAATGTGTCTTACTTTATAGAAATGTTGTTAATGTATTAATGATGTTATTAAATACTGTTCAAGAAGAACAAACTTTATGCAGCTACTGTCCAAACGCAAAGTGGCAGCCAGTAGGATTTGATAGGTTGCCTTTTGGAGATTTCTATCACTGCCTTTTTTTTCCTTACTGTTTTATTACAAACTTACAAAAAAAAAAAACCCATGTATAACCCTGTTTTATACAAACTAGTTTCGTAATAAAACTTTTTTTCTTTTTTTACAAGTGAAAATAATCAGCTGCCTCCAAGTCTGCTTTGATTCCAGTGTCCCTGTCCAAATTATTATGGGAGTGGCAGAGGGAAGAGGGAGTAAGGGGTACAAGGTGCTGCAAAACCAGCTAAGTGGCAGAAATGACCAACATCAGGGCTATGGCCAGGCCCACCCACCCAAAGCGACTCTGATGACGGTTTGAGAAATAAGCATATGTGTATCTATGTATATTTTCTTGCTGTCTTATCTTGCAAATATACACCTAGAGCTCAGGGGGTGGCTGATGGCTGTGCCACCCTTTGACGAAATGACTATGTTTTAAAACTTCCAACCCAAAAAAATGATCTGGAAAAAGAAAAGTTCTCACCCTGCTCACCACATTCTGAGTTTCTCATAGTGAAACTGCGAAAAGGTCCATAGAGAGAATGGACACAGGGGTGGATGACAGGATGGGGTGCTGGAGTTTTGGGGTGGGGGTCCTCCCCAAACTCCCAGTGGTATCTGTTCTTTCCTCACTTCCCTGCACACACAGTCCACCTCCTTTTCCCTAACACACACACTTTCCATATTGATTTTAAGTAAAGGGCATGTTGTGATGGGAATTCCTTGCAGAAGAAGTTAGATTTAAATAAATAAAAGCCTTAGAAATGTGTGGTCGCTTTGAGACACTGGCCTATCTAAGCTTGTGACTCTATCCGAATAGCGTGAGCTGCGTGTAAAAGTACCCAATTACCAAGATTCAAAAAGAAATTGGTGGGTTTTTGGCTGGCTTGCTTCTTGTCAGTTAGCAAGGACGTGCTCAGAATCCTAGTCCGCCTCTCGGGCTCCCGGCTCGCCGGCTGTATTACTTGCAGATTCAGTTTGCGTGTCTCCAGCCAAGCGGAAAGCCCAGCGCAAAATGCATCTTACAAAACCCAACAAAGAACGGGGAGCCAGCACGTCTTCCAGAGTTAAAAATCTAGTCTGTGTTGGTACATCTATACCATTTAGTGGCACAGAATAATCATTTTTTAAAGCCGCGATGCGCGGAGCAAGCCACAGCGTCTGATGTCATTTTGCTAAATGACCTTCTATAGAATGCACATGGAGGCTTCAGCCCCTTTCAAAGAGATGAGCGTAATTAAGGGAAAAAAATCAGTAAATTCCTCATCGCCATAAATAATCGGACTTTCTGCCAGCAGTGGGCCAATTTAGAGCTTACTTGAGGGAAGTAATGCCTTTGTGATGCCTGCTTTTATTTTTATCTTCTCATTTGGAGGACCAGGGCTGGACTCCCTCCTCTCCAACCCCCCCCCCACCACAGCCCCCCTCCATTTCTTTTTCTTTTAATTTAGCTCCTTTGCAAGTTTCCAGATAAGGTATGCAAAGAAAGTGTAGCAGGTCATTTATGGCTATGAATATAACATTAGGATAATGTTTCAGCCCCCACAAAGGGGATTTTTTTCCCCCTGCTCCTCGTGAAGACAGGTGTTCTTTTACTCACTTCTGAATGGGAAATATCCAGTCTCGTTAAACTCCAGGCAAAGTTAGCCGTTGTTGGCCACAATGCGAAGGCAAACTCTAAAAATTCACAAAAACACACACACAATTTTGCCCAAGCTAGGAAAGGCCAAAGCGGGGATTGGGCAAAATCTCATTACATCTGCTCTAATCGCTTAGCAACACAAAGCCGGGGCTTGTGTGGCGCAGGGAAGCCATTCAGGGCGCTCTGACAGGCCGCATTCAGCCAGCATTAGTCAGCTCCATAAATCACCGCTGCCCATTGGCTGCGCGGCGGGCTTTGCAGCGGCCTTGGGCTGTCAGCGAAATACAAAATGTAGACCCCGGCAGCTAGTGATCGCCGCCTCGCCCCGGTCTCAGCCCCCACCCCACCTTTTTTTTGTTTTGTTTTGTTTTTTCTTTTTTTTTTTTTTTTTCTCGAGGGTTGGGGGGACACACAGAGAAAGTTGCTAGGAAAGAAAACTATTTTGACTTTATAGACTGAGAAATCTTACTTATTTTAAACAAATGGTCTGGACACGAGGGGTTTCAGTCTGGGGACACGCCTGAAATTGCTGGGCCGGAGCTACTGGGATGCACATTTCACCTCCCTTCAAGCCACTGTCTTTGACGTTTTTATGGTTAGGAGGAGAGTGGTGGGTTTGCGGAGAATTTTTCTTAAGTTCACTTCAGGTGGGGCCACCAAGGGAGGAAAGAAAGAAACTCAGCTGCTCTCTGCAGAGCATCAGGGCAAGAGGACTGAGAAGAAGGACTAGGGAGTCGAGAGGACATTTCCAAGCCCCTGTTCTTGCAGGGCTGGGGGTGTCAGGATGCAGAATCCACAGCCCTGCTCCTTCTGCTTTAATGTTCTTGTTTGTCATATGGGGTTGACAAGAGACAGCATGAAGGTGTTGTTAGCACATGGCCTTGCGGGAGGGGGAGGGAGGCTTACAAGCTGTACCTGAATGTGGTGCTTATTATTATTTTCATCTTCCAGGCCTTTCTCTCATTTTCAAGTTGATGCATCTAAATCACAGCTTAAGTATGAGGCTTACCCACAAACCACCCCACCCAGAGAGAAGGCTGGGAGTGGACAGGGACTCAAAGTCAAGGAAGGCTCTCCTGGGGAAGTCCAGGTCACCTTCTCCCAGATGCCACCCCCTCCCGTAAGCTTGCCCTGAGCAAGCTAAAGCAGCTCCACGGGCCACCGCCCCGTCCCCTTGTGCTGCATCTCCTTCCTGGCACCTACCAGTATCTGAGCAGAGCCTTGTCTTCGTATGATTTTGCACTACTAGACAGTAAACTCCATGAGGCCAGGAACCTAACCTGTCTTATTTACCATTACCACACCTGGGAGAAAGGTGTTTGTTCACTGAATGGGTGGTCTGTGCTGTTTCTTACTCTTCTTTCCCCCACCAACTTCACTCTCCAATCTTCCTTGGGACTCCATTACTGGGGGTGGCTCCCTGCCCTGCACCTGCTGACTTTCTGTTGGGTTTGGCCGGTGGGAGGCACCAACGTGTGGTCAGGAGGTAGGAGGGGAGGCAGGTCTGGATGTTTAGATCCCCACTTCTCACTGCTGGGGCTGCGTTGCTTTGGCTGTGGCTCTACTCTAGGGTTGGGGCTCTTAGCAGGGGCTTCTCTCCCCAGGTGGCAGCTCCTGCTGAGGTGAGTAATAGAAGAGAAGCCTTCTCCCCCTTCAAGCCCAGAGGTGGAAAGGACTCCCACTCATTATTTACTTGTCTCTGCCTGCCATGCTGTATCATTTTGGTTCCTTTAGCACCACCCTCATCCGTGTGTCTCCCACAAACTCTTTTCATTTACACTTTCAAGTTATTGTTGATGGTGGCTGGTCCAGGGCTACTCCCACACAGGATCTCAGGGATGCCTTAGTTTCCTGGAAGAAATTTCCTAAGGCAGAGATAAACCTAGCTCTGTTCACAACCAACCTGGCTCTAGAAAATCACTTCATCTTTTCGAATCAAGAATGAATGATTGAAAGTTTGCACCAATTTAAAAAAAAAGTCAATTACAGTTTTCTCTATTGAAAAAGGAGGGCAATGCCTTCCCTTGCATAGATCACCAGATGACCAGAAAAAGAAAGGACATTAGAGATGCCAGAGTCCATATGGATGCACGAGAACCCCCCTCCTGAGGCTCCCCCTGACCAAGGTCGAGAGGTGATATTGGGGTCTTGGTCACCAAGAAAAGCCAAGGCTTTGATGCTGTGGGGAAGTTGTTGCTGCTTTGCATTCACCCATTCATTCACTGAGACATTTACGCCCTCATTTTAAAAAGGAAGAGGAAATAAAGCAAACATAGCTTGTATCTTCTAGAGGGAGCTCCCCAAGAAGTGCATTTTACCGCTACCCCCTTTTAAAGCAGGACAGACAGACTCTCTGGTGCAAGA